AGCAGTGTCACCAGGCAGGGAGAACTTTGAGCCCTGTGCATCGCCCTGGGCCAGCAGCAGCCGCCTGGCAGGCAGGACGGGGCAGGCCAGCCATGGCTTCTCCCCAGGTCCTTGGCCCAGAGAGCAGCTGCGGTGCTGGCCCTGCCCATGATGTCACAGCGGGATGGGGCCTCTGCTGGCACTGGAGGGTCTGCTCCATGGGGGTGTCTGTGGCACCATGTCTGTGGCATGGCCAGTGCAGCACCATCTCAGCCTTCTTCCCTCTCTCTGCAGAGCTCCAAGGCAGTGCAGGGGCTGACTGGGCTGCGGAACCTCGGCAATACGGTGAGTGTGTGCCCAGGCACCATGGCCCCAGCTCACCCCATGCACTTCTGTGGGGCAGGGGGGAGCCCTGGCCCTCCTCCTCGCTCCCCAGCACCCACTCTGTCACCCTGGCAGCTCCCTGCAGGAAGAGCTTCCCCTGCTCTGCACTGCTCTGTCCCCATCCATCCTCTGCCCACCCACCCCAGGTGTCCCCCTGCCACCGCCTCCCTCCCTCTGCTTCCCGTTGCCATGGTTTTCTCTTCTGCCTCCCCCAGTGCTTCATGAACTCCATCCTGCAGTGCCTGAGCAACACCAAGGAGCTGCGGGATTACTGCCTGCAGAACCAGTACCTGCGGGACCTCAACAACAACAGCCGCATGCGCACGGCGCTCATGTCAGGTGAGTGTCCACCGCCGGCCCCTGGGGACTGCGGGGGCTCCCCTGCAGCACAGCCCCGCAGCACAGCCCTGCAGCACATCCTCGTCCCCCTGGGATGCCCCAAATCCTGGGGATACCCACCCCGAGGTCGGTGCTTCTCCCCAGCCTTGCTGGGGCGGGCGCTGTGCTGTGGGTGCTCAGCCAGGGGGAGGATCGGGTGCAGGGACCCCCAGGTGGGGTGCTGAGCTCTGCCCCGGGGGGGCACAGCGATGCCACACCACCCCAGCTTGCTGACCTGCCTCTCTGGCCGCAGAGTTTGCAAAGCTGATCCAGCTGCTCTGGACCTCGTCCCCCAACGAAAGCGTGAGCCCCTCCGAGTTCAAGACGCAGATCCAGAGATACGCCCCCCGCTTCGTCGGCTACAAGTAAGGGGGGGTGGGCGCAGCGGTGGTGGGGGGAGCTGAGCCCCCCCTGCTGCCGCTCACCGGCAGTGCCTCATGCCTTGCAGCCAGCAGGATGCCCAGGAATTCCTGCGGTTCCTCCTGGATGGGTTGCACAGCGAGGTGAACCGTGTGCTGGTGCGGCCCCGGGCCAGCACGGACACCCTGGACCACCTCCCGTAAGTGCTGCCTGGGGTGGAGGAACTGGGTAAGACGAGCTCACTGCCTGCAAGCCCAGCCTAGGGACAGTGACCACAGGGGTCTCTCTGGGCTGGGTGGCAGGGCTGGCATCCTCCAGGCCACGCTCACTCCCCGTGTGTCTCCCCACCCCTTGCAGTGACGACGAGAAGAGCCGGCAGATGTGGAGGAGGTACCAGGAGAGGGAGGACAGCCGCATCAGCGGTGAGCAGGGCTGGGGGAACAGGAGGGCAGGGCAGGGCTGGGAGTTGGGCTGGGAACTGGGGGTCTCACCCTGCTCTGTCCCACCCCACCAGACCTCTTCGTTGGGCAGCTGAAGAGTTCGCTGACCTGCAGCGAGTGTGGCTACTGCTCCACTGCCTTCGACCCCTTCTGGGACCTGTCCCTGCCCATCCCCAAGGTGAGGCACCCCCAGTGATGACCCCCGGCCCCCTGCCCCTCACTCCCTGTCCCTGACCCTCCCTGTGCTCCCACAGAAAGGCTACGGGGAGGTGACGCTCATGGACTGTCTCCGGCTCTTCACCAAAGAGGACGTGCTGGATGGGGACGAGAAACCGGTACGGGGCAGGGGGGCTTTCCTGGGGGCAGGGTGGGCACCTTTCCCCCCCATGCCTGTGTTACCAGCACTGTGGGCACAGGGGGAACTGGCCTCTGCCCTCACCCTCCTGCTTGTGCTGTTTGTCTCCCACAGACGTGTTGTCGCTGCAAAGCCAGGACGAGGTGCACGAAGAAATTCAGCATCCAGAAGTTCCCCAAGATCCTGGTGCTTCGTATCCTTTGGGCAGAGGGATGGGGGTGGAGGGACTGTTGGGGGTGGTAGGGGGTTTTCTCACGGGCCCCCCTTTGTCCCTTGGCTCCTTGACTGACGCCCCCCAGACCTGAAGCGCTTCTCTGAGGCCAGGATACGAAGCAGCAAACTCACCACCTTCGTCAACTTCCAGCTGAAGGACCTGGACCTCCGGGAGTTCGCCTCGCAGAGCTGCAGTGAGTCCCAGTCCCTGCCTGACTCCAGCACAGCCCTGAGCTTCTGGTGACTCCCGTGTTCCTCGTGCTCCCCTGGGTGTCACAGCCGTGGTGGGGGACAGGGGTTTGAGGGGTGGGAGCCACAGAATCCAGGGGATCCAGCCCCGTGCTGGCATGCTGGGGGGCAGTGGGGCTGAGCAGCACCTTTGTCCCCCACAGATCACGCCGTTTACAACCTCTACGCCGTCTCCAACCACTCGGGCACCACCATGGGGGGACACTACACAGCCTACTGCAAGAGCCCCGTGTCCAGCGAGTGGCACAGCTTCAACGACTCCCGGTGAGGCTGCTGTGGGATGGGGCAGGGCCAGCAGGGAACCCCCTGCTCGGGGAATCCTGGTGCCCCGTCCCCGTTTCTCACAGCTCTCCTCCCCTCTCCACAGCGTCACCCCGATGTCGTCCAGCCACGTCCGCAGCAGCGACGCCTACCTGCTCTTCTACGAGCTGGCCAGCCCGTCCTCCCGCATGTAGCCAGCCCTGCTGCCTCCCTGGGGACCCCTGTGCCACCCCTCAGAGCCAGGTCCTGGCCGTGTGGCCCCCCAGCTGCGAGAGGGAGGTGAAGAGGAGAGCCCCCCGAGGTGGCTGCAGAGGGAGCAGCCAGGAGCAGAGCCCGGGCAAGGACAGCCCAGCTGCGAACTGAGGAGGGGCAGCTCATGGCAGGACACAAGGCTCAGGCAGCCCAGGCACCTTCTGGTTGCTGGCATTTGGTTTTTACCTTGGGGGTTTAGTTTCTTTCTTTTTTTTTCCTTTTTTTTTTAATACAGTTTTTTTTTTTTTTTTTTTTTTTTTTTTTTTTTTTTGGTGTGTAATAAAAATCCAGAGCAAGGGACTCTACGGGAATGGGGCCGCCTGTCCCATTGACTCAGCCAGGACCTCTGCTCCCCTGGGGCAGCAGCACCCAGGGCTGGGGACCCAGGAGAGCCTCACTCATCCCTCCTGGCCTCTTGGCACTCCTGTACCTGCTTGGCTACCCCAGAGGATTGGTGAACTGCTCCCGACCTCCTCCTGGCACTTCCAAACCTCCTGGCAAAGGACTCCAGCACTCCAGTTGCCTCCGTCCCGTCTCAGGCAGCAGCTCCCCAGCAGCTGCCCCACACAAACACTCCTCACAGCAGCCTGAGCTCAGGCCCAGACTCACGGACAGGAGGGAGGAGAACATTTTGTGGAATTTATATGTATTTATAGTGGACTTTGCTTCACCTGGAGCACCCACCCCGCCGCTTCCTGCCTCTCCAGGGACTGGTGTCGGGGGATGCCTCGGGTAGGTTTTTACCTGCCTCCTCATACAACGGTGCCTTAAACCATTTAGGGGAGCGGGGGGCCACTGGGGTTGCACAGGAACATCCTTCCTGTGGAGGAGAGGGAGGGGAGGACAGTGGCTTTCCGGGACCATCTGCAATTGGGGCTTTTTCCTCCCCGTGATCAGGAGCCCCCCCTGGGTGCCCAGGGACCCACCCTGCTGCTCCGTCCTCCAGCTAAAGCAAATGCCAGTGGCCTTTTTAGCCTTTTCTCTAATTTATTCACCTCCTCCCCGTCCAGCCTTTGCCTGAGGTGCAGTGGGAGGAGGGACGGGCCCGACCCAGCACCATCCCAGCCTGCAGGGCAGCTACATCCAACCCAGCACCCGGCTGGCTTCGCCCTCACTGCCCTGCGGGCACGGGCTGAGCGCTGGCACGAGCACCCTGCCCAGCCTGGGGCATCCCAGCGGGGCTCAGGGAGGGCAGGCCGGGCTGGGGGGCTGCCCGGGGCAGGTACTGGACTGGGGCAGCGCTGCTGCTCGGCAGGTGGCTTGTTTACTGTGTAAGCAAGATGGGTGGGAAGTGTCTCATACAAGGGAGACTCGTGCGGGAATAAATTCGAGCTTGAAAAGAGTTCTGCGTGCCCGTGGTGTTCTCTGGGAGGGAGGGTGGTGGGAAGCTGCCACCAGTGCCAGGACAGCCTGGCTGTGCATGGCTCTGGAGACCCAGCAGCTCCCATGTCCCTGGAGCACCCATGTCCCCGGAGCAAGGGAGATGTGTGTGCAGATGACAGTCCCTCCACTGTCCGGAGATAGAAGGAGCCTTTCCAGCCCTGCAGTGCCCAGACTCTTTCCTCAAAGCCCCTGAACAATGGCCCCTTTCTCCCCTGCTTAGGGCCCAGACGGGCACCGAGGCATTAAGGGGCAGCAGGAATGCAGGTGGCTGGGCTCGGGCACCCAGTGAGGCAAGGGGGGACACGCTCAGCCTGGGGTCCCCAGCACAGCCCCCTCAGTGCTGCCCTCAACAGTGGGGTGCCCAGGGTCAGCAGCCAAACCCAGGGAGCCCCTGTGCCCCCAGGAGCAGGGTCCCTGTCGGGACGGGCTCCCAGCGGGGCGGGTGAGAGCACAGTCCCCTTTAAGACGCTGGTTCTCCGTGCCAGAGCCTGACCTCGGCATCCTCAGCTGAGCTGGATTAACGGGGCGAGGGGGAAGGGGCCTGCAGAGGGGACTGGGGCCGCTGCCTCCCGGGGCTCCCTGCACTGCCGGCACGGCGGGCATGGCCCTGGGGGCTCCGCGGGCTGCGGGGCTGCGCTGGCACCTGTAGGCACAGCCTGGCACTGCCACCACCTGTGCCCGGTGCCCACAGCGCCCCGGGGCCCATGGGGGCGGCTGGGGAGGAGCGGGGTGTGGGGCTGGGAGCTGTGTTGGGGGGCACGGAGTGCTGGGGGTGCTTTTAGCCAGCCAAGGAATCGCCCGCTGCCATGAGAGACTTCACCGAAATCACGCTCTGCCCCGAGGCTCTGGACCACAGCAAGGTAGGGCTGGGGGTGTGGGTGCTGCCGGAGGTCCCCACGTGCCCGCCCCCCGGTGCCACCCGAGCTTGCTCTCCCACAGACCGAGTTCTGCAACCCCGTCTTCGAGGGCGAGGAGCCCCGGGCAGCCCCGAGCATGGAGCACCCGCCAGACAAGGATGGGACCGGCCCTGCATCACCCCGGGATGGCCTCGGTACCAGCCTGGGGGTTTGTACACACACACCCCTGCCCGCGGGGCTGGCAGCAGTGGGCTGGTGGGCTCTGGGACTGCTTAGGGGACCCGGGAAGAAGAGGAGGGGACGTGCCCAGGCAGGGCTCAGCCAGCCGTGCAGGGAGGTGGGGGCACGGCTTAGCAGCACCCGGGCTCTGCCCGCTGTCCTCGCCTTCCCCGCAGGCCAGCAGCTCTGGGGACAGGTAGGCTGGAGGTACCGCGCCGACTGCAAGTTCACCTGGCTCTGCGTGGCTCTGATGAGCACCATCCTGCTCTTCCTCATCGCCCTCCTGCTGGGCATCGTCATCCACCGTAAGTGCCCGAGCAGCGAGGGCTGGGGGATGGCTGTGACTGTGGTGGGGGGGACAAAGAACTGGCTCAGAGCGGGAGAGGGACGCTGAGAGGACACCCCAGGGTCTGCCCGCGGCGGGGACAGAGTGCCCCCAGGCACAGGAGCAAGGGGGATCTCCACCTCCCTGGGATGTGGCAGGACCACCGGCCGCTGGGAGAGCTGTGTGGGATCCCCTGGGAACTGCACACCGGGGCTGGGTGGGCTTCCTAAGCCCCTTCCCTGCACTGCAGACACCTCTCCCTGCTGGGGCTGAGCAGTCCCTGCTCTTCCCTGGGCACAGAGCTGACGTCCCCACACCCACCCGGCACCCCAGCCACAGCCCTGCCCGCCCGTGGCACGGCCACCACCACCACAGCAGCCACCCGAAGGGACCCCCCGGCCCCCAGAACAGCTGCCACCCCAACGCAGAGCTGGGTGCCCACAGCCCACACGGCAGCACCGGGTAAGTGCCCCCGCGTGGGGCAGTGTTTGGGGCTGGGGGTGTCCTGCTCCAGCTCACGCTCACGCTGTTGCCCCGTGCAGCCTGCGGAGGGACCCTGCGGGGCCCCGAGGGCTCCTTCAGCTCCCCCAACTACCCCGGGCCCTACCCCCCCGACGCCCTCTGCATCTGGCGCATCGAGGTGGGCCCCGGGCTCGCCATCCAGCTGAAGATGGAGACGTTCAGCGTGGAGGGCACAGCCTCCTGCCTTTTTGACCGTGTGGAGCTCTACGAGGAGCAGGGCGTGGATCCTGCCCCAGCTCGGGGTGGCCCCACCAGGTAGGACCCTCATGCCTGGGGAGCGTGGAGGTGCAGTGGGGAGGGGGCAGCGAGCAGCATCATCCCTTGCTGTGCCCCCAGGTTCTGTGGCAACGTGGCCCCCCCGACCTTCAACTCCAACTCCAACCGGCTGCGCGTCACCTTCGTCTCCGACAGCAGCGTGGGTGCCCTGGGCTTCAGCGCCCGCTACCGCGCCGTGGCCCCCAGTGAGAGTGAGTACCCCCTCCCCGGGCACTGCCAGGGCTTCTCGCTGTGGGGAGAGCCATGGGAGTCCCTCCAGGAGGGGACAGTGCCCAGTGGGATCGCCCCCATCCCGAGTTGTCTCTGCCTGCGTGCAGAGAGCTGCGCCTGGGACGAGCACCTGTGTGACCAGGGGCTCTGCCTCCACCTGGGCTTCATCTGCGACGGGTTCCACGACTGCACCGACAAGAGTGATGAGGCCAACTGCAGCCTGAAGCACAAAGGTGGGTGGGACACAGCCCTGCCTGCAGCCCCCAGCCCTCAGTCACTGTGGCACAGTGATGGGTGGGGAGATGGAGGGAAGGGAGAGGGAGGGGGTAAAGCTGCATGTGTGTCCCTGCAGAGTGCGGGGGGGCACTGACCGCCTTGGAGGGGCACCTCTCCACCCCGAACCATCCCCAGCCATACCCACACCAGCAGGTGAGAGAAGGGACGGAGGTGGGAGCAGGGTGAGGGTGAGGTTGGGCAGGGAGGAAAGGCAACCTCCCCCTGGGGAGGGCCGGGGGTGCCCCTGCCCAGCTTCACGGGTGTCGCCGGCTGCCCCCTGCCCCGCAGCTGTGCCTCTGGCAGATCTCAGTGCCCGTGGGCCACGTCATCGACCTGCACTTCCACAACTTCAGCCTGGAGTCGCACGAGGACTGCAGCTTCGACTTCGTGGAGGTGCACGACAGCGCAGGCACGGGGGCCGCCAGCCTCATGGGCAGGTACAGCCCACCCCCCTGGCACCTCCAGCCCCGCTGCACCAGCCTGGGGGCACGGGGCTCCCCTGGCTCAGCTGGGAAAACTGAGGCACGGGGGTGGCTGGTGGGGAGGAGCTGCCGGAGGGCAGGGGTTTGGGGAGGTGCTGCTCAGCCCACCCTGACCTCATCCCTCACCTTGGCAGGTTCTGTGGCCACCAGCTGCCACCCCCCCTGACCTCCTCACGACATGTCATGACCGTCCTGTTCGTGGCAGATGAGGGAGTAGCAGACAACGGGTTCTTTGCCACCTACCAAGCCCGCAATGCCACAGAGAGTAGGTAGCCAAGCAAGGGCACAGGACGCCCAAGGGGGCTGTGCCATCACCATCCTTGGGGGTCTTCAAGGCCAGGCTGGATAAAACCCTGGAAAAATCTGCTCTAGCTCTATAGCTGATCCTGCCTGGAGTAGCAGGTTGGGCTACAGGCCCACAGGGGGCCTGAATTACCCTATAAGGCCATTGATCCTAGCTGTGAGAATGTGACCTGGAGAGGCTGACCTGCACAGGAGCACAGTCCATCACCTGAAGGCTGCCCCTAAACAACCCAGGGAATTTGGGATCTCCCTAAGCCGGGCTGGTGACAGTCACCTCTCCAACCAACAAGAAGAGCAGAGACAGGGGTGGGGAGCAGGCTGACTCCCAGCCATGCCCACGCCCTGCCACACTGGCCTCTGCCACCTTCCAGAGACGTGCAGCCCCGCAGAGTTCTCCTGCAGGAACGGCGAGTGCCGGGCGCTGGAGTCGGTGTGTGACGGCTGGCACGACTGTCCCGACGGCACCGACGAGCTCAACTGCACCGGGGTGTCCTACCCAGCCTTCGGTGAGTGCCACCCCGGGTGCTCCACTCAGCACTCAGCCCCCTCCTGAGCCCCCCTGGGGCAGGGGACATGGTGCTGTAAGGACTGAAGCCCCCCGCCCCGTGTCAGGGTCTGTCTGCGAGCCCGTGCACGTGGAGATGTGCCTGGGGCTGGGCTACAACGCCACCTCCTTCCCCAACATCTGGCTGGCCATCCCGGACCAGGAGGGAGCCGCCGAGGTGCTGCAGGACTATCAGGTGAGCCGCCCCCGGGGCTGCCCCTGGGCTGCATTCCAGGCTCCCCACGGCATTCCCGGCATTCCCGGCTCACCGCTGCTCTCCCGCAGACGCTGATGGAGCTCCCGTGCTTCCAGCACCTCCGCCTGCTCATCTGCAGCCTCTTCGTGCCCAAGTGCACCCCGGACGGGGGGGTCCTGCAGCCCTGCCGGGCCGTGTGCCTGGCGGCAGAGCTGCGCTGCAAGCAGTCCCTCGGCCTCCTGGGCATCCTCTGGCCCATCAACTGCAACATCCTGCCCGACTCCAACGACCCCGTGGAGTGCTTCCAGCCCTGACCCCGCAAGAGAAGAGGAGCAGGGGATGAAGACACCCTCCCCACCCCAAATGTCCCTCCTGTCCTCCTCCTGGTGTGAACACCCTGCTGCTGGGGTGGCCCCCACCCGCAGCCCCCCTTGCCTGGCTCCTCACCTGCCCTGGGTCAGGCCCTCTGCCCACAGCTCCGAATCCCTCGTGAGCAGGTGACACATCCCACAGGGAAAGGCTTGGGCTGGAGGGGCTGTGCTGGGGGCACCAGGGAAAGGGCTAATGCTCCCCAAACGGAGCAAGGCCAGGCAGAGGAAAGCCAGGCTGCAGGAAGAAGAGCCCAGGGCTGCCCATGTCCAGCAGCCCCAAAGCCAGTGGAATAAACAGCTTCAGCAGCTGACAAACCCCAATGAAACCAGTGGCTCATTTGGGGAGGGTCTGTGTGTGGGTCCTGCCAGATCCTTGGGGAAAATGAGGCATGGGCCAAGGGAGGGAAGTCAGGGATGGAGTGGGGGGTTTCAGCAGGAATGGAGGGCACAAGGGAGAAGGGACAGCTGTGCCCTCACTGGGCTTGGGGGCTTGCAAGGTCCCAGGGAGATGGATGGGTATTGGAGGGAGTCATTTTGGTGGCCCCATGGTGCAAAGAAGGGATCCTGCCTGAGCAAGAGCTGTGGCCTTGCTGGCTGAGCTGGTTGTGCTGGCTGGAGGCCACCCTGATGGCCACAGGCCTGGCAACACCCCACGGCCACAAACCAGCTCCCAGCTGGCCAAAAACAACAGTCCCTTCACACCTTGGGAGAGAGGAGCCAGGCGGCTCCCTGCCAGCACCCAGCCTGGCCCCGGGCACTGAGGTCAGGAAGGCTCAGCCAGCAATGCCACCACACTGCTGTGGGCACTGGAACAGGGAGGAGAGAGCCAGCAGTGCTTCCTGCTGCCCCCACCCCTCCTGAGCATGTGGGGAAGTCCCCAGCCCGGCTGGGGTCACTGGGAGCAGGACACACCGGGGTCAGCCCCGCTCTGCCCTTGTACCCAGCACGGCACCACCATTCCCACATGGCTCAGGGGGCTCGAGCCCGCCTGGTTCCTTCATTCCCTGCATGTCCCACTGGCTGTGGGGCACAGGGACTTCCCCCAGCCACGGGACTGCCCCGCTGCCCGGCGTCTGACCGTGTCCCTTGGATGCACTCGGCTCTGGAACAAGTTAAAGGCAAGCTGGGAGCGCCCTCGAAAGCTTCCCCACGTGCTCCACGGTCCCCTGAGGGCCAGCCCTGCCTCCTGGCACGGCCACAGCGCTGCTCTGCCTGTGCTTCTACCTGCCCTGCCCCCTCAGCCACCCCCTGGATGGCTCCTGCAGCTCCCCACGGATGCTCCCGGGGCTGGCACTGCCAGGCTGTGTGTGCCCTGCCATCCCCCCTTGCCTCAGCTCTGCTGCCAGCAGCAGCCCTAAGGCTGCCAGTCAGGAGACCTTCACACTCCGAGGGCTCCCTCTTCCTCCCAGTCTTTGCTGGATTTCCCTTCCTCAGCCTCTCTGTTGTTCCCTTTCACCCCTCTGCCTGTTTTCCCTGTTTTCCCTCCCCTCCATCCTGCTGCCTGGGTGCCCAGATGTGTTCAGTGGAGGAGATCTGCAGCCCGTGCCTCCCCTCCCTTGTCCAGGCTGTTTGCCTCGCTCTCCCTTCCCCCTGCTTACAACACTCCCGACACCATGGGATTATTTTTCTTTTTCCCCTTGTCTTGTAGCTTTTGGCTCCCAAGGCCCTTGATTTCCTTTGGAGTTTGGGAGGAGAGACGTGAGGAGGAGGGGGGGGTGGAGAGGCTGCCTCTCCCAGGGCCTTCGTCAGAGTGAAGTGGCCGGGAAGAGCCGCAGCCCTTCCACCCAGGAGAGCAACGAGGCACCGGGGCAGGAGCTTTGGGACCGCAGTGAGTGGGGACACCCAGCCGGGGGCAGCTGGGACTCTCTGAATTCCTGGCTCCGGCGCCTGGGCGGAGAAGAGACACTTTTTCTCCTCCTTTTCCTCTTTGTTGCAGTCGTGGAGGGGGGAAGAGAGAGCAGCTTTTCTGGGTCGAGGCCACGGGGCGGGGGGGGCCAGCGCCGGCCGCGGGGCTCTGTTCTCGTTGTGGGAAGGGCTGGGGGCAGCGGGGGCAGAGGGGTGGTCCCGGCGCCGGGGTGGTCCGGGGATGCTGCAGCCTCCAGGGAGCCGGGCGGGCGTGGAGCAGAGCCGGAGCCGCCGGGATGCTGCCAAGGGCCGGGCCACGGCACAGCCCCGCGCTCCCCGAGCTGCCGCCCCTCCACTCGCCCCCAGATGCAACAACCCCACCCACTGACACCCCTAAATCCCCCCTGCCCGCTCCCTCGGAGCCGGGCACGCTGCTGATGGGGCAGTGCCCACCCCGAACAGCTGCCAGCCACACCCCCAGAGCTGCCCGTGCCACAGCCCCCTCCCCAATTCCCTGTCCCCAGCACCCCGGGAGCCACCCCAGGGGCTGCAGGGTGGTGGGATGGCACACGGGCCGTGGGGATGCTGCAGCAGGTGCAGCTGCGAGGAGCTGCCAAAAAGGCAAAGGGGAAAGAAGAGGGGAATGTCCCCTGCTGACCCTCCACACCCACTCCCAGCCGAGCACTGCCAGTCCATCTCCCAGCCCTCTCTGCTCTGGTTCCCAGAGCCATGACCCTTCTCTGCCCCTTCCAGCCCCTCCACGGTGGACGAGATGAAGCAGCTCTTCCTCCTCCTCCTGCTCGGGCTCATCACCAGCTCCTTGCAGATCGAAGACAACAAGATCCCTGGGCTGTGCTCGGGGCAGCCAGGAATCCCAGGGACTCCGGGCCTGCACGGGGGCCAGGGTCTGCCAGGCAGGGATGGACGAGATGGCCGGGATGGGGCCATGGGGATGCCCGGGGAGAAGGGCGAGATGGGCCCTCCTGGTAAGAACGGAGACACCCCTGCTGGGGAGGGGGATCTGCTCTGCTCTGCTCTGCCCTGCTCTGCCCTGCTCTGCCCTGTCTGTGGGGAATGCTCTCATGCCAGGGAGTGAGTCCTGGGTGCTGGCACAGCCCCACATTGCCAAACTGAGGGTGCATCCTGCAAAAGTGCCCCTTCCATGCCACCACTCCTCTCTGGTCCTGCCTGTGGTGACCCTGTGCTCCTGTAAAAGGCAGCAGCTCCCTGTCACTGGCAAAGCTGCATTTGTCCCCATCCCCAATGTCATCCTTTTCTTCCAGCCCCGCTTTAGGAGAGTCCACCAGGAAGAGGGCTTCATCATCCCTTCCCTGGCTCCTAGGGTGGGTTTTCTCCCAGCCAGAGGGCTATCTCCGACAAACCATTGATGCTGTGCCAACTTATCTCACGCACCCAGCCCTCCCCACTTGTGTTGCTTCCCCAGGCAATGCCCCGGGCGTGGCTGGTTGGGGCAGGGCAGGGTGGTTGGGGGAGCTCGTGTGGCAGTGGCGACGTCCTAGAGGTAACCCTGTCCCCCTCCTGCCCGCCCAGGAGTGCCCGGCCCCCGCGGGGAGGTGGGCAGCCCCGGCGTGGACGGGCTGCACGGCGAGAAAGGGGCGCAGGGCGAGTGCGCGGTGGCCCCTCGCTCCGCCTTCAGCGCCAAGCGCTCCGAGTCGCGCAGCCCCCCCCTGCCCGACCAGCCCATCCTCTTCGACGTGGTGCTCATCAACGAGCAGGGCCACTACGACCCCGCCTCGGGCAAGTTCACCTGCGAGGTGCCCGGGCTCTACTACTTCGCCGTGCACGCCACCGTGTACCGCACCAGCCTGCAGTTCGACATCGTGAAGAACGGCCAGACCGTCGCCTCCTTCTTCCAGTACTACGGGAACTGGCCCAAGCCCACCTCGCTCTCGGGGGGCACCCTGGTGCGCCTGGAGCCCGAGGATGAGGTGTGGGTGCAGGTGGGAGTGGGGGACTACATCGGCTTCTACGCCAGCGTGAAGACGGACAGCACCTTCACCGGCTTCCTCGTCTACTCCTACTGGCAGAACTCCCCCGTCTTCGCCTGAGCTCGCCCTCGGCTGGGGACGTGCCCCTTCCAAGCCCCCAGCGAGGTGGGAGCCAGGGCACCGGGACCCCCGCCCTGCTCGGGGCAAGGAATACAGCCCCTCTGCCATGCTGGGTGTGGCGAGGAGCACCCCTCGAGCTCACTATTATCTCGGGCACTTGGCTCTGGGGGAGCCCCCATGCCCTGGTTGTGCGGTACCCACCGCACGGTGCCCGGTCCCTGCTGCTCCCCAGGCCGGGTCTGTGGGGCCAGGAGCCCGTCCTGCCCCAGCCATACCCTCAATAAAGGGCTGCTCAGCCACGCGTGTGCCGGCTGCCTGGGCGCCCTCGGGGAGGCCACGACGGCGGGAGGGGGCTGCACCGCCCTGCCTGGAACGTGAGACAGAAGGACGGGGGACACGGTGCCGGGGTTGTCCCCGCAGAGCCAGCGGGAGCCACTAGATGGTGGCAGCGGCGTCCCTGAACCGCGGCCGCGGCGCTGCGACAGCCCCCGGCACCTCCCCGAGGCTCGGGAGGGGGGAGCGGGGCCGGAGCATCCCCGGTGCCCCGCCGAGGACCGACCCCTCACCGGGAGGGAGGGTCCCGGTGCCACCAGGGCCACCCCGGGGGGAGTGGGCTTGTCCGGGGCGAGCAGGGACCCCACTCCAGTGGGGGGTGGGTACCCTTCGCTCCTCGGACGGAGTTTGTGGAGCCCCCCGTGCCCGCCCCCCGCCCCAGTGTGAACGCGCTGACCCGCGGCTGGGAAAGGTCCCTATTTTTAGCAGGGGAATGAAGAGCTTCCTCATTCCTGCCCGAAATAGGTCCCTGCGGGGACCAGCCGGGGGAGGGGGCTCTTGGCCAGCGGCCGAACCCCTTGATGGGCTGGGGGCGGTGCCCTGCCGGCCGTGGGGTGCCAGCTGGGACCGGCGCTTCTTCTGGCCATCCTTGCAGCGCTCAGAAGCCCAGGACCCCCTTACACACCCCTCCCCTGCCGCAGATCCCGGCTGCCCCCCATCCATGCTGGATGGCCCCCCAGCACCAGTGCTGTGCCC